TCAATCTTTTGAATTCTTTCCCACTTACGTCAATATTGGGTGACTTTAATTTAGTACGTATTCGAATAAAAAATTTATGAATTTATTAAATATGCATGCTTTAATTAAGCATGATTAATAATAATTTTATAATTTATTTTGATAGATGATGTTATTACATGGTGAACAATATCTTGAACTCAAGAAACCTATTCCCACTTCTGGCAAATTAATCTCAACTCCGCGTATCATTGATATTCTTGACAAAGGTAAAGGAGCTTCAATTATTCTCGGTATAATTACCAAAGATGAAAGAGGTGAAATCGTATTTGAAAATGAAACAACCTTATTCATTCGTGGAATTGGTGGTTTTGGTGGTCGAAAAACTGGTGATGATCGAGGAGCAGCTACGGCATCAAATACACCACCAAAACGTCCTCCGGATACAGTTATGCAAGAAAAAACTGTCGAATCACAAGCAGCCATATATCGTCTAAGTGGTGATTATAATCCACTGCATATCGATCCTAATATGTCTGCGATGGGCGGTTTTGAAGTACCAATTCTTCATGGAATGTGTACCTACGGTATATCAGGCAAGCATGTGTATACAAAATATTGTAACAATGATCCTAACAATTTTAAGAGTATAAAAGCTCGACTTGCCGCACCGGTTTTTCCTGGAGAAACACTTGAAACACAAATGTGGAAGGTCAGATTAAATTTATTAATTTTAAAAAATTATCATTTTAATTTTGATATAACTATTAAATATTTTTGTTTTAATAAAATAGGAAGGAAATAAAGTCATTTTTCAAACACGCGTTGTCGAACGAGATATCATTTGTGTTGCGTCTGCAGCGGTTGAATTGAAAAGTTCAGATGGAGGCAGGGTTAAATCCAAATTGTAAAATTTATAAATAGGGAAATAATTTTGTGCACAAGTTTAAGCTTTTCTGCCCTAAATTTTGAATTTATTGTGTAATTCTTATTAGTTTTTTTTTTTTTTTTGAATTAAGACAATGACTATTAATAGCTTTTTTTATTATCTATCAAAAATAAGCTCCCGTATACATATATATATTATATAAAGAGATTCCATATTTGTAAATCATTTAAAATAGGAGGTGTGTCAGATTTAACATGTTACGCAATCAGCAATGATAGCAATGATATGCGAATGATATGCGACTGATATGCGGCATAAATGCATCAAGCCTTTGAACTCGTTTTTTATCTTTATGATATAGATCAGCATGTCGGAAATTCAAATAAAAACTATAAACCTGTCATAGTTTCTAACAGGCTGCTTGCATTGATGAAACTAATATCATAATTTTTTAAAGGTAATTAACTATTATTTTATTAACGGCGTTAATTATTTTTTTCAGTAAACTCCTTTCCTATAAACTTATTTTTACTTTGCATGTTATTCTTGGACATATAGCCCTCAATTCTGAGCAATGAATGAACACTGATATTCTTGCAAATATAATAACCAATAAACGTCCCAATTATGAAAGCCTTTTCACATTCACCATTGATAAACCTTGCTTTTAAATAAATTATTTTATTCTTTTATCAACCAGCCTGATTTTTTTACGAAAAATTTCTTTTTTGACTCTTTAAAAGTCCCAAATATTTATCAATTTGATTTAATTACTTGAGCTTTTTTTATATAATTATATAGCAAGGATGAGATGGATGTTGTTAACGGCTTTGTTCATTATGTTAATTATCAGAATGAATTTCGTTGATGCACGTAAGTACATAATTTTATTATCCTGAATTATTATTCCTGAAATTATAATATTAAGCTGCGTATATATGCGCGGTTAACGTGTACATATTTAAGAAAGTTATTTACATATACATTATAGATAATGAGGTCTTTGCCTTGAAAATGACATTGGACATAGGTTCCATAAGATCATATTCAGGGCAAAGACCCTAATTTTATTATTCAAGTACTGTAAATTATTATGATAAATTACATTATATTACAGAAATAATCATAATATATGAGAATATATGAGAAATAATCATAATATATGAGAAATAATCATAATATATGAGAAATAATCATAATATATGAGAAATAATAATATATGAGAAATTTAATTAATACTATGATTTTTTTTTTAATTTTATGATCTTAGAAAGTGTAAAATGTTGCTTTTCGTTGCAATCCAACTTTACACGACCGCCTAATGTATATCGAATTGGTGTAAATGCTTCCCACGTGGACGCTCGTAAATATAACAATGCGTACGTTGCCATGGTGTCGTTTCCACCGAATTATCATGTAATAGATGAGCCATCGTCTCCTTATTCATACGTATCATGTATAAAAAAAAGCGACAATGAACCTATGTATCAATGTGATTCAAAAGATAAATTGACTTTTTATGTTGAATTAACTGTATCAATAATACAACCTCAAAATAATTCAAATTCATTGCCTCAAAACAATACACCATCAGCAACCGTGAACATATTTGGAGATCAGTGTAATCAACAGGATATTTGTCCAGATCTTGCTGCTTTAGCTGAATCCGCTAGTAATGATGATAAAATATCACTTGGTCCATTTGGCACTTGGCCGAAAACTAGTGTAATTATCTTTGGATGTATTCTAGGTTTGATTCTATTAATAGCATGTTATATAGTAATCAAAAGAAATAGTACGGCAAGTATAAATTCTAGGTCGTCAAATTATCATGATAAAGCTCGTGACGATGATTCTTTTAATCCGAATTCACTTTTACAAAGTGAGGATGATGATAACGATGCTATACAAATGTCAACGAATGATACATTATCTAAATTGAAGAGCAAGAATAATGACAAATATAATATTAATCGATCATTATCACAAAGAACGCATGATAGCAAGAGTAATGACCAATACAATCTTAATCGATCAGTATCACGAAGAACGAAAGATAGCAAGAAAGAACATTCTGATTTTAATGTTTATGACGAAAAATCAGCAGTTATGTATAATAAACATCCTTACAATAATTTTACGCAGGATTCTTCTATAGTAATTAATGTGGATGGAGAATCAAATACTGATAAAGATCTTCAGATAAATGAAAAAGATGCATATTTATCATCAAATAACGAAATATATGAAAATTCATCACAGATAAATTCAAATATCGAGCAAGAAGCAGCTGATGTAACACATCTTAATAATATGAAATCAACAGATTTATCAGGTTATCAATCTGTGAAAGAAAGTTTTGGTCAACAAAATTTTCAAGAGGAACGACGTATAATAAAAAAATCTACATCACACACGGACTTTGGTATAAAATTCTCAGATTTAGAGATAGATATTATTAATCTTCCCAGAACTATTTCTGCATCATCAGCTCCTAATTCAAAAATAGCAATAGATAAAATCTGATGAAAACGAATTTACTTGGAGAAATCATCCTGATAACTAACTCCCTACCTTCAGGAACAATATCAAAAGTATCAAATTTGTTAAATTAGTCACACATATATATATATATATATTATTTGTATAATTAAACAAATTTAATTAATATAAGACCAGGACTAATTTTTGAATTATCATTTGCCTAGATACGTAACGAAATATTTTTAAGATTAGATTAACGTTAACAAAATTATTAATTTCTTCAAAAGCTGTGCTTTTTTTGTATAATTAGAACATTTTTTACATTTTTTAATATTTTACTTTTATTTAATTGAGATCATATCTAATAACTTATGTATAATTAATAGCCTGTCAAAAAAAAAAAAAAAAGTGTTGTATTTTGTATTTTTAATTTTCCCAATTTGCATTAACGTTATAAAAAAATGTTAAAATAATTTAGGGGAATTTACAAATAAGGGCCCAAAAATGTAAAATAATTACATATAGAGGCCCTATTTTAATAAAGTTTGACAGTTTTTACTATATCTCATGATACCAATTGAATGGTACCAAAATCTCCAAATTTTAATCACTGGATTACGAGTTATTTTCTAAAGTCTGTTTAAATAGTAATATATATTGTTATCCCGTTATTAAAATTTAGCGATTTTAGTACCATTCAATCCGTCTCGAAGAGACGATTCGAATGGTATCAAAATCGTTAAATTTCGTTTACTGTATCGTGAGATATAGTAAAATTTGCTAAAATAGGGCCCCTATATGTAATTATTATTTTACATTTTTGTAAATTCCCAATAATTTAACAAGTCATGTGATGCCATATCTGTATATAACCCGTTTTTCATGCAATCCTTCCTCGGGAATAATCTTGTCACAATTATGTCAGATATTGAGACACGACTTTCCGCAATTTCGGGGATTCCCTCACAAAAGGATAAAACTACCGAATATCGTTCTTTACTAGAAACGATCCTTGCTTCAACAGACGACTCAGTTTTAGCAACTGATCTGGAAACTTTTGTTGACCACATAGTACAAGAACAAGTCGGTCTAGTCATTTCTCGACAGATTCTTACCGAATTCGTACTGGGCATTGATAAAATTAAAAATTCTGCCATCAAAAAACGGGTTTTAAACTTTGCATTAAATAAAGTCCAACCAAGAGTTGTCAGTTTTGAAGAGCAGGTTTGATGATTTTTTTTTTTTTTTTATCCTAGTTGTATTACGTGAAATTTCTAACGAATTACTATCACTTACGACCTTGACACTATATAGATTTCTACACTTCGCGAAAAATTAGCCGAAATTTTTGAGGCTGAAGAAGAATGGCTTGAGGCTGCTAAAGTCTTGCAAGGAATTCCATTGGATTCGGGACATCGGTATGATTAAGTATTCATTGATTAACTAAACACATTTTTGTTAATAATATTTATAATTATAAATCAAAAGAACCATCTCGGATGAATATAAACTCAAGATTTATATTAAAATTGTTCAGCTTCTTTTGGAAGAGGATGAAGCTGTTTCGACAGAAACGTATCTAAGTCGCGCCGCGTTATTGATCCCTGGTTGTAAAGATCAAGTTATCAATTTAACATTCAAATTATCACAAGCTAAAATCTTTGATTTCAAACGAAAATTCCTCGAAGCCAGTTCGAAATATCATGAGCTGAGTTATGTAACTGAATTAGCACCAGAAGATCGAACGAATTGTCTGTGAGTTATTATCAGGTTTATCGTATTAGGCAATTCTTTTGAATATTCGCTTACATCTACCTGACATATGATGCTAGTAATGCTGCTATTACTTGTGCTGTCCTTGCTGGCGCTGGTCCTCAACGTTCGCGCATGTTGGCCACCTTATATAAGGATGAACGAGTGCAGCGTTTACCACATTTTTCTATCCTCGAAAAAATGTATCTTGATCGTGTTTTGCGACCAAATGAGGTCAAAGGGTTTGCAGAGACCCTTAAAGAACATCAACGTGCTCGACTCGCTGATGGCACGACCGTTCTTGATCGCGCCGTCATCGAACATAATCTTCTATCAGCATCCATGATTTACAACAACATCACATTTGAAGAGCTTGGTTCATTACTTGCTATTTCTCCAGACCAGGCTGAACAAATTGCTAGCTCAATGATTGAACAAGGACGAATGCAAGGAACAATCGATCAAATTGAACGATTGATTTTCTTTGAAAGTAGTTCTGCTGGAAAAGCTGTTGGTGGTATACTCGGTGCAAAATGGGATATGGCAATCCAAAACGTTTGTCATCATGTAGAAGAAGTCGTAATTGCAATTGGAAATAAATATCCGGAGCTCGTACAAAAATCAGCCTTTTAATAATAAAATTATGCTAGTAAAAAAAAAGAGGAGACTTCAAGGTGAGCTTTTATATTTTGTTTTATTTGTATAAAGTAAATTCTGTTCTCAAAGACCGAAAGATATTTATTAATAAAGGGTTCTTATTTCATTTATATTGTCTTGATATATAATTAATATATATAGTTAGTAATAATTTTTTCCTTAAATAATTTCATACCGTATAAAGTATAACAGCTTATTTTCTGTGATGTTCGGGTGCCTTATTTGCAGAATAATTACAAATGTTCTTATAAACATCATTATTATTACATTAATTTCGTTAATGTTATAATAATTACTTTTATATTCGTTTAGAAAAAAAAAATTCATTGAAATATGACGTATGTAAATTTACGATGCAGGAGATATTTGGTGTTTATATTAAGCATTATACAATATTAATTTATTTTATGATCTAATTCAACCTATATATCTGAGTTCAGTTTCGTTACTTTAAAATGTGTTCATTCTTAAAATTTAAATTAGACACTAATTGGCTTGGATTTATTTTAAACCTGGCCAATTCGAATTCTTAATCCGATTCGGAATACTAAGAATAAAATATTATATGAATGCTACAGAGTAAAAAATATTTATTGTGGCGGATTATAATAAAATCGTATTAAAATGAAATTTGGGGTCTCTTTAAAGCCACATATACTCTTTTATTAACAACTCTACTTCTAAATTCTACTTCTCCAAAAGATTTAAAATATATATATATATATATATATATATTTTGGAAAGTT